AGAAAGTTTGGTGACAGGAGAGCTGGAAGAGAGCCTTGAGAGTAAAGGACAGATTTAAGGCTGAGATTCACTCCATACTCACCAGTCTGATGAATGAATCTCCTTTCCTGGCCAATGCACCAAAATGATACAGCTTCAATGACTAGAGGAACACCAGGGTTTTTGGTCTCACACCAGTTTAGATAAAATGACACAGACACACGTGGAGTGGTTTTAAGGAGCAAAAGTTTAGTAGGCAAGAAAGAAGGAAGAAAGAAAACAGCTCCCCATACAGAGAGAGAGGCAGGGGAGCTTGGAGCAAAGAGGAACCCCGTGTTGGGTGGAAAAGGGGTTGCTTAGATTGGGATGCTGGAGAAGGCAGTGTCTGGTTGGCATAGGACCCAGGGGATTGGTTTGACCAGGTGTGTCATTTATGTAGCCCACAAAAATCCTGTCCCTCTCACATTAGCCCTTTAATATGCAAATGTGGGTCACCGTGATGTTTTGAACACATGGTGTTATCTGGAGGTGGCCATCACACTTGGCACAGGTGGTGACAAAGAGAAGACGGTGGGAATCACCATGTTGAGTGAACCCAGGTTTTAATGACTGGCATTTGCACATTAAAGCTTGCTGGCCAGGCCATTTAAGCTGTCTTTTCTGTTAGAAAAAAGGTGGTTCAGGGATTGTTTCTTATTACTGGAAAATTACCCTTACTATCTGCCTAGAATAATTTCTTAGTAACTCCGGTATTACCAGGAGGCCGCTGGGGGAACAACAGGTTGGGGTAAACGCCCTGTGAGGCATAGCACCTGTAGGTCCCCACATGGCCTGAGGTCACAGGACTCACGGGGAATTCAGCCTTTACCGCTGAGTGTGGTACTTTGATATTAGATACGAGGCTGGGGTCTTGCCAGCTGCATCCTCCTCAGATGGAAGGAAAGTGTCCATCCACCCACCTTTACATCTGACACAGCAGGGTCACGTTCTCCCCTGAGGCCACCGTGGGGCCTGGTTGCACCGAGAGGGAACGTCTGTCATGGATCTGTTCTAGAGATAAGAAGGATGGGTGAGGAGCCGCACCACCTTGTTCTGAGCTGAGACCTCCTCAGGCCTCTCTCTGGGACCCTCAGTCTCTCTGTCTCTGTTTTCTCTGAGTTCCCCTCTCCCTGCCCAATCCCTCCTCTCTGTCTCTGCCTCTCCCTCCCTTGGGACCCCCACCCCTCATCCCAGCCATCACCACCTGGGCTCCCCTGGCAGGGCCTGTACAGAGCCTGGGTCCCTGACTGAACCCTCTGGGCTTCTCACCTGTGATCAGGATGTCCAGGGGGTCACTGAGGGCAGACCCCCTAGAGGAAAGGTTGGGTCCACTGAGCATCTGTACTGGTCCCCATGGGAGATGCTCACAGGGCCCAAGGGGAAGTCATCCTGGGAGAAATTCTGGCCAGAACTCAACTCAGAAGGTGATGTATCTTTTTCTTGAACAGGGAGAATATTTTGTAGCCAACATCAGAGCAACACAAGAGGGTCAAGCTCTCTCCATGGGCCATGACAAGGCCCTGTGGTCAAATGAGAGGGCTCCCTAGGCACACCTGGAGTGTGTGAGGAGCCGGGACTCCTCCTTCCAGGTCCCCTTCCAAGCTCCTTCTTTCACCAGGTCACCTCCAGGTATGGTCAGAATCCAGTGGGCTCCTGGAGCTTTTGGTCTCAGGTGATAATGTCTGCTAAACCAGACTGGTAAACCTCCACCTGTGGCTAGATCATGGGGTCCACCAGGATTAGGGCTTGGAACTGTCCATTGGACTGTGTTTTGGGGTCCAGGAGACAGAATAGCTTGTGTTCATCTTCCACAGTCAGAACAGACCTGTCAAATCCCAGCCGTGAAGGACGTAATGGGGTCACCTTACCTCCTGAGGTCAGGACAGGGCTGGGCTGAGCTGAGAGGGCGGGTTTGCTCTAGAATCCTAGAAGAGAAGGAAGCACCGTGTTAAATGGGACTCACACCTTCCACATCATCCCCCAGGGCTGGGCTGTGAGAGGGAGACGCCCCTGAGAGCCAACCCCCTTCCTGAGGGCAGAGCCTGGGGCTGGGACCCCTGAGGGTCCTCTCACCTGTCACCACCAGCTCCAGGGGGTCACCAGGTTCTGACAAGCCTGAAGGGCTGAGAAAGTGACAGCAATATCACTGTGTGTGGTGCAGAAATGCAGGGAAATAGGGGAAGAAAGCAGATCTCCTTCACTGACCCTGGGTTGTGGGTGTTCTTTCTACTAAACAATTCTCTGCTTGGGCTTCCCTTGTTTTATTACTATTTTCTAACAGTCTCCTCCACATCTCCCTAGAAACGGCCCTTGATTCATTTCTGCCTCCTCAGTGCCCCTTGTCTAGTTCTCAGAACCTTCCTCCCCCTCTTTCCATGGTCCTGCCCTCAAGCCTTAGGGACAGTGGGTGGGTTAGCACTCCAACTTTGAAAGGAAGGCCAATCTTTATTTAAATAATCATCTGTCATCCATTGCCTGTGGCCAGGACTTAGCAGCAAATACACCTGGTGCCTTCCTCAGTTGGACCCTTTCCAATGAGGCTGACTGAGGGCTGAGCACACAGGTGCGTGAGAAGTCCTAGGAGTTCAGCCAGAGTGCACTTAGAACCTGTCCTTTCTGAAGGAGGAGGACGGAAGAATCCTTGCTCAAAAGTATATGCTCTCGCCCCTTCTCTTCAGCATAATAATAGAAGTCCTAGACACAGCAATTAGGCAATAAAAATACACAAGGCACCCAAATCAGATAGAAAGTGATATTGTCTCCACTTGCTGCCATGATTTTATATATAAAAGTCCCTAAAGACTCAACCAAACAACTTTTAGAACTGATCCATGAATTTAGTAGAGCAGGATACAAAATCAACATGCAAAACTAGGTAGCATCTCTGTACACTAAAAACAAACTATCCAGAAAGAAATCAAAAGAAAAATTACACTTATAATAGCTAAAAAATTACTTAGAATTAAATTTAACCAAGGAGGTTGAATATCTCTGTACTAAAATCTTTACAACATTGATGAATGAAATTGAACAAGACCCATATAAATGGGAAGGTAGCTTATGTTCATGGTCTGCAAGAGTTAACATTGTTAAAATGTTCATATTACAATAAGAACATATGGACACAGGGAGGGGAACAACACACACTGGGGCCTGTGAGGGGAGGGCAGATGATGAAGGGAGGGAGAGCATTAGGAAAAAGAGTTTTGCATGTCAGGCTTAATACCTAGGTAATGGGTTGATAGGTGCAGCAAACCACCATGGCACATGCCTACCTATGTAATAAACCTACCTGTCCTGTACATGTGCCCTGGGACTTAAAAAAAGTTTATACCTGCAGACTCAATGCAATTCCTATCAAAATTCCAAGGTCATTTTCCACAGACATAGAAAAACAATCCTAAAATTTGAATGGGACTACAAAAGGACCCCAAATAGCCAAAACAATCTTGAGCAAAGGGAAAAAGGGGGTATCACACTTTGGAATCCCCAAATATCCTACAAAGCCACAGCAAGGAAGACAGCATGGAACTGACATAGAAACAGGTACAGTGATCAGTGCAACAAGGATGAAAGCAAAGAATGAAACACACACATTTATGGTGAATTGATGCTCAACAAAGTTTCCAAGAACAAGAGAGGGCAGTCCTTCTGAATAAATGGTCCTGGGAGAACTTAGTCTCCATGGAGTGTGGAGGTCTGGGTCCTCCCTGGGCTAGTGGATGGCCAGAGCAGCGTATACGCTCAGCTCAGCTGTACTTTCCCTTTCCTGGGAGGAAGGAGGCTTCATTATTTCCTGTTTGAGGGTTAAGTTGTGCAGCTGGGCATAGGTCACATCCTGGGGATATTCATATGAAGAAGAATGAAATTGAACCATTATCCCATGTACAAAAATGGGTGAGAGAAAAGCTTCAAGACGTTGGTCTAGGCAAAGTTTTTTGGATATGGCCCTGAAAACACAAGCAACAAAAGCAAAAGTAGACAAAGGGTGTGCCTCCTAACGAAACAGCTTCTGCACAGCAAACAACAGAATGAAGAGACAACTCAGAAATGGGAGGAAATAGTTGCAAGCTGTATGTCTGATAAAGGGTTAATATTTAAAAATATATAAGGAACTAAAACAATGCAACAGCAAGAAACCAAAAACTACTTGAAACACGGGCAAAGGAGCTGAACAAGCATTTCTCAAAAGAAGACATACAAATGGTCAGCAGGTATATGAAAAGGTGCTCAGACAAAAGCTTTGTCTGTTGAGATAATAACTTTTTGTTCATTTTGTTAAAATACTGAATTACATTGATTGAGTTTTTGAAAATTAAGCTACCCTTGCTTTTCATAAACAAAATTAAAAAATAATAAAAAACCAGTGTGGTCATGATATATTGTCTATTTTATAGAGACATGAATCTTGTTAATATTTGTTAAGGGATTTATATTTCGGTGAGAGATCATCCATGACTTTCCCATTTTGTAGTTTCCTTGTCAGGTTTGGGTATCAACTTGTTCCTAGTCTGATAAAATGTATTTGTGTAAATATACACAAAATATTCTCAGGGAAAATTTATGCAAGTTTCTGTGTGTGTGTGTGTGTGTGTGTGTGTGTGTGTGTCTGGTCTGTGTGTTTCATGAGTGCATAAGAGTTTGAAAAAACCACCAACAAATCTTCCTGAAGTGGCATTTACTTTGCGGGAACATTTTTTATTACAGGATCAATGCATTTTATATATGTTTATGTATGATGATTCAGTTTTTCTATTTATCCTTATGTTCATTAAGTAAACTGTAATTTTGAATATTTCATCTATCTCATCTGCATTTTCTGTTATGTCGGCATAGAATTGCTCAGTTTTCTTTCACCTTTATAAAGCTGTGTGTAGGGTCTGTAGTGCTGCCTCCTATTTTGTTCCTGTATGGAAAAGAGTGCCTGCTCTTTTTTTATTCTTATTTTTCTCATTGTGGCCAAGTTCCATGTATCATTAATGTTTTCAAGAATAAACTTTTGACTTTATTGATTTTTCCTTAGTTTTTGTTTGTCCTCATTAGAAGCTCCCATTTTCCCATGTCATTGGTTTGATGTGTAATATTTACATGAGCATTCAATTTAAAACATTTTCTGACTTCTGGTTTTTTTTGTTTTTGTTTTTGTTTTTTATCAGTTAACTCATTGGGAACTGAGAAGTCTGCTACTTTGTTTTGATAATGCAGGGATACTATTTATCTTTGCAGAATCAGGTGAAGCCCAAAGTTCCCAGAATCTTCTAGTGGTCTCTGTTAGGGGTCTAGGCTGGCTGGGGTTCAATGATGTCCACTGGGGGCAACTTCCATGCCTTCTGGGGTCCTGAGTCTCCGTGGTTTGTGGGGTCTGGGTCCTCCCTGGATTAGTGGATGGCCAGAGTGGCGTAGACACTGGGCTCAGCTGAAGGTTCCTGTTTCTGGGGTGGAGGAGGCTCAGTTGCCTCCCGTCTGAGGGTCAAGCTCTGCAGCTGGGCATAGGTCACATCCTGGGGGGCTTCAGATGTAGCAGCCTGCAGTGGGGGAGAGTGAGAGGGAAGGAATGTGATGGGGGTAGGGGAGGGCTGGGGGCCTGGAGAGGAAAGGACCAGCCTGAGTGTCCATCTGCCTGTCCTCTTCCACCTGTGTGTCCTTTGTGTCCAGGAATTCCTCGGACAGTGGGGAGGGAGGGGAGGCCATTTCTCTCCTAGGTCTGGAGTGTTTCACCCGGGCATACGTCACTGCCTGGGGGTCTTCATCGTGTGGGCTCTGCTGGAGAGAGACACTGGTGGGGGGTGTCCTTGAGTCTCCCTGACCCCCTGGAGTCAATTTTCTTCACTGTTCCCAGGATGATCTGATTACATCTCTTTCCTGATGGAATCTCAGGGATGCCCTAAGGCCGTGGAGGGTCTGGTCTCTCCCTCCCTGTGGTTCTGGCCTCTCCTCCTCACTCTGACCTTGCCCATTTGGCTGCAGCCTCACACCCACCTTCCTGAAAGAGCTCACTGCTGCCTTGGGGCCTTTGCATGGCTGTTTCTTCTGCCTGCAGGGGCTTGTCCATTAGAGGATCCTGTGGCCCCCTCCGTCCAGGCTTCTCAGATGACAGCTGAGCAGACAGCCCTCCCCTTACATTCAGACTGGCCCCACACTCTGCCCTTTCCCTGGTTTATGTTTCTTACAGCACATTGCACTGCTGGACACTGCATTTATTTGCATTTTGTCTCCCATCACGAGGTGAGCTCAGGAGGCGGCGGTGGCTCTGCTCCCTGCTGTGTCTGCAGCTCCCACAGGGAGCCCGATCCACAGTGAGCTCCCTGGGAACACTCGCTGGATGAATGAATGAACGGGAGCCCAGGGGACCAGGGTGGTTCATCTATTCCTCATCCTCCTGAGGCCTGGGGAGCGCTCTAACAACTAGACGGTCAAACAGAGGAGGAGGAGCGGGAAGGGGAGCCGGGAGGAGGCCCACGAGGTCCCAGGACAGCAGGAGAGAGTGAGGTCACAGCAGGCGGGAGGCAGCGTGCTGGACAAGGAGGGGTCCACCGTGATGATGCTGAGAGCCGGGGGAAGAGGACAGAGAAGTCCTGCAGGATTAGATCTGGCACCGGGAGGCCTTTGGTGCCCGGGACAGGGGCGGGGTCTCACCCGACTGTCCAGCTCCACCCCGTCCTTAGGCTGTGTGTCCTTCATGGCAGCATCTGCTGGGGCAGAGCAAGGGGTTTTTCTCCTGGGAAGGTTCCCTGGGACCGCTCATTCCTGCCGGACCCTGCCCTGTTCCCATTAGGGCCACCGTGATGCTGGGAGGGGCTGTGATGTCCCCGAGGTCCTACAGTGTGGGTTCAGACCACCTCCCCCAGAGTCCCTGACCCTTACCAGCCTGTACTCCTGCCCCCATTGCTATTGAAACTTTGGGGCCCGCATCTCCACCCCAGGTGCACCCCCTCTGCCTCTCACTTACTGGGGTTTTCTCCCTGGACGTCAGCAGCTGGCCTGGACCTGGGGGAGGATACGGGAGTGTGAGGGGCAGTGAGGTGGCTGTTGGGGTGGGTGGGAGTCTGAGGCCTTCTGGCAGAATTACCTCCTCTGTAGACCCCCATCCTTGGGCTCTGGCTCTGCAGCCCCTGGAGGACGTTGGAAATCAGCCTGTCTCTGGGCTGGGGAAAGGTGCACGGAGTCTCAGCTCTCGGAATGTTAGAACCACCTGCCTTGCACATGCAACTCAAGAGGAAGACAAACCCGAAAATACACTTGCAAGAATGTTTTAAATCCTTCCTAAGTGTAGAAAAACCGAAAGAATAAAGCACTTCCGTTATGCCCTTCTTTATTTTCTTCTTTCTAGATTTTCTCACTGGGAATTTCTGGAGCAGTTCCTAAGCTGACCTCTCCTATCTGGAGTCTCTTTGGCTAGTGCTCTGAGCCCACCCTGCATCGGCCCACAGGTCCCCCAATTTCCTTCTTACCTGATGTCCTGTGTTTGCCCTGACGCCAGTGTTGGAGGAGGAGAAAGAAGACGAGGGAGAGAAGCAGGATGGAGACCACCAAGACCCCGATCAGTACCTCCCAGTGCCTTCTCAGACCTTGGGCGTGATGACATCAGGAATGGGGATGATATCACTGATGTGAGCACCTACTGTGCGCACACCTACTGTGTGTGCTGGATCTTTCTTTCATTACCTCCAACCCTCACAGCAGTCGTGCAACTTGAGATTGCCACCCTCTCTCTACTCATTTCACAAAGGAGGAAACTGAGGCTCAGAGAGGGGAATCGCCTGCCCCAGGTCCCCAGCCAGGAAGCAGCAGAGTTAAAAAGTGAACCCGGGACTCTGATCTGCAGCCCTTATTCCCTGCACCAGAGCCAAGCCCCAGAGTTGCAGGGAAAGAGCCTGATCATCTTGAACCACAGCCCTGCTCCCCTCCCCTGCCCCAGGTCACCGTCACCGCTGCAGGTGGGACTGGACAGGCCCCTGTAGAATCGACTCTGGGAGGTTTCCCTGGGAGGCCTCCTCTCCCAGGAGATCACAGCTGGGAGTCAGAGCTGAAAGGAATATTCCCACCCGCAGGCCTCTCTCCTTTATACTTGGAGAAACTGAGGCCCAGGCAGGGGAGGGGCCTGTCCACGTCACCATCTCCAGAGGGGCCTGAACCTAGGACAGAACCCACCCCTGCCCCCCAGGGACTCCATTCACCTCCCAATCAGAGCCCCCCACTCACCACTCTGGGGGTCTGACCCCGTAGGCATGAGGGACTGGTCCTCAGGGCCTGCTGGGTTAGAACAGGGATGTGAGGGCTGGGGCTGCCCTGCCCCCGACCTCAGCTCAGCTTCTCCTCCCAACATCTCCCTCTGCCTTGACCCCTCACCCCGCATTAGCCCAGCCTCAGGGCCTTGGGAGGCTGCAGTGCCTCCCAAGTCACTGCCCGACTCCCACATCCTTGGAAGCAAGCCCAGCTGAGAATTGGAACGAGGACTTAGATCCACTGAGCGTGTCTTGAGACAGGCCTCGGGCTTTGGAAACTCTCTGGACAGAGGCCTCTAAGACTCACCAGCTGCTGAGATGGACCTTGTGGGTGAGGGGCTGGGACTCTCCAAGGATCCTGGGTAGAAGGACAAGAGGAGGGTGAGAGTCTGGGGTTGCCCCGGAGTCTCCACCTCAAATTGAACCTCTTCCTACATCTGCCCTGTGGCTTCCCAGGGACCATGTCTCTTCCCTCCTGGCACCTTCTGGACCCCGGGTAAGGGAGAAGAGCATGGGCAGGCCTGGGAGGACCCCGTTGTCCTCCTCCCCTCTGAGGGCTGAGTCTCCCCTTGGCTGAGCCCCCCTTCCTCCATCCCTGCCCAGAGCTCTCCTGGCGGCAGAGCCTGAGCCATTGAGCTCAGAGGGGACAGGGTTAGGAGCCTCACCTAAGACAGTGAGCTCCACGGGGTCACTGGGGCGTGACAGCAGGTAGTGGGAGAAGCTGCGTGAGCTGATGCACCTGTAGGTCCCCCCATGCACTGAGGTCACAGGACCCATGGGGAATTCAGCCCAGTGCAGCTGAGCTCCGTGCTGTGATCTCAGATGCGGCAGGGGATGGGCTGCCCCCTCCTTAAACAGAAGGAAAGTGTCCATCGGGCTCTGTGACTGACACAGCAGGGTCACGCTCTCTCCTGAGGTCACAAGAGGACTCGGCAGGACTGAGAGGATGGGTTTGCTGTAGGCTCCTAGGAGAGAAGGAGGCACCATGTTAAATGGGTCTCCCACCTCCCGCATCATCCCCAGGGCTGGGCTGTGAGAGGGAGATGCCCCTGAGAGCCGACCCCTTTCCTGAGGACAGAGCCTGGGGCTGGGACCCCTGAGTGTCCTCTCACCTGTCATCACCAGGTCCAGGGGGTCGCTGTCCTCTGACCAGTCTGGATGGCTGTGATAGTAACAGCGGTATCTCCCTGCATAGTGCTGTGTCATGGATGGGATGGAGAACTTGGCCTTGTTCCTGGGCTCCAGTGGGTTCTGTGTGTCCCAGGGTGCTGGGCTTCCTTCTTTATCCAGATGGTACTCCTGAGCGTCCGGGGTCCCCTGACACCAGATGGTCACGGGGCTCCCCCAGCTGATCACAGAGCCAGGCTCAGCCCAGACGGTGGGTTTGGGGAGGGGCCCTGGAAGGAAATCAGAGGCTGCATCCCAAGAGGTCCCTCAGCCCTCAGATCCCAGCTGTCAGTCCCAGGACCCTTCAGATGTCGCCATCAGTCACCCAGAACTGCTGTCTCCTCTCCCAGCTGCCCATGGGTGGCCCTTTGTCCCCAGGGAGGAGGAGGGACCTAGGACAGCTGGGGACAGACTCACCTGCCTGCACACAGGTCCTGGGGCCCAGACTCAGCCCTGGAAGAGAGTTCCCTGTGAGAGATTTGCCCCTGAAGCCTGAGCAGGTCCTCTCTTTACCCTGTGATTTTTGAGTCTCCTAAAGAACCAGGGCCTGGCTGTGAGGCAAAGTTCTTCCAAGACTCGGGTCTCCCCTCCCCCTCCTTAAATCTCACCTAAGCAGAACAGGACCGTGAGGGAGGGGGTCATGGCTTCTCCTCCCAGTGGCCCCAGCTGTGCAGATGGATGAGTCCTCGGTGCCAGCGGGACAGAGAGACACACGGTGTGTGGCCGCTCGGAGGCTGGGTCCTTCTAGTCATGGGGTTGTTCCATCAGCAGCCCGCAGGAAGGGAAACTGCCCTCATTTGAACCCCAGCCTGGCTTTCATTTCCCCAGGGATAGGGCTGGGGCAGGCACCAGGTTCTCTGCAGACATTTCAGACAGAAATGTGGTCTCTCTGATCCCAGCCTGCTGTCTCCCTCATCTTAATTCCTCTCTTGCCCAAACATCAACCCGTATGTATTGTGTATTTGCACTAAGCCTGATGCTGGGGGTACATCATTGAACAAGTGAAAAAAACAAACAAACAAACAAACAAAAACCTGTGTTTTCAGAGCACAGGTGAACCATAAACCTTCCTATTGCTGCCATAACAAATCACCACAAGCTTAGTGGCTTAACATAATGTAGGTTTCTTGACTTACCATTCCAGAGGTCACAAGTCCAAAATGACTCTCCTTGGGCTAAAACATAGTTGCCATCAGAGCCGTGTCTTCCTGGAGGTTCCAGGGAGGATCCGTTCCCCGGCCTGTTCAAGCTTCTGCAGGCTCCCACATTCCGGCCTCACCATTCCTTCCATCCTCAAAGCCACCAGTCCCGTTATCTGGCCCCTGCTTCCATCCACTCACCCCCTTCTCTCACTCTGACCCTCCTGCCTCCCCCGTTTCATTTACTCAGCCCCTTGTGATTACATTAGGCCCACCTGGATAATCTCCCCAACCCAAGATCCTTAACTTAATCACATCTGCAAAGTTTGTTTTGCCACATAAGCTCCCCCTATTCACAGGGTCTGAGGCTCAGGACGTGGACATCTCTGGAAGGTCACTATTTTGCCTCCCACAGGCCTTCAGGGATTCCTTTAGCCAAATCTCGCAGAAACCACTTCTCTGTGATGACGGAGAGCGGCTGGGCATGCCAGTTGAACGCTTGGTGGGCCAGTGCGCAGCCAGGTCATGGTTGGCTACTGATGTCCCACGGGGCCCTGCCTACGTGAGGCCAAACGTTCCATCTCTACCAGAGCCCAGTAGCCACCTAAAAACTGTGCCGCAAAACAAAACTCATTCTCTTCAGCGCCAGCACGATGTAGCTCCAAAATCTTTTTTTTTTTTTCTTTCTTTTCTGAGACGAAGTCTTGCTCTGTCACCCAGGCTAGAGTGCAGTGGTGTGATCTCAGCTTACTGCAACCTCCACCTCCCAGGTTCAAGCGACTCTCCTGCTTTAGCCTCCTGTGTGGCTGGGATTGCAGGCACCCACCACCACTCCTGGCTAATTTTTGTGTTTTTAATAGAGATGGGGTTTCACCATGTTTGCCAGGCTGGTCTCGAACTCCTGACCTCAGTTGATCCACCCGCCTGGGCCTCCCAAAGTTGCTGGGATTATAGGCGTGAGCCGCCACGCCCAGCCAAGCATAGATTTTAAATGTCTTCACTGCAGATAGATGTTAGTATGTGGAGTGATGGACATGTTAATTGGCTTGATTCCATCATTCCGCAATGTATACATTTATAACACATTGTACTCCATAAATATATATAGTTGGTGAATTCAATATTTAGTAAAATTATTTTGAAAAGAAAATAACCATAAATAGATAACAAGCACGCATAAAGGCCAGATAGCTTCAACCCTCAGACCACTGCCTGCGTTAGCTTCCACCCTCAGGCCGCTGCCTGTGTAAAACACTGCAGGTGGTCAGCTCTCAATAATCATCCATTCGAATGGGCATGTCCTGCAATGATCTGGAATTGTGGTCTGTCCTAGATGGTGACTAATCATTTTCTGCCTCTGATCTCCTTAAAAGGATAGAGAGGGCAGGGCGCGGTGGCTCACACCTGTCATCCCAGCACTTTGGGAGGCCAGGGCGGGCGGATCACGAGGTCAGGAGATCGAGACCATCCTGACGAACATGCTGAAACCCCGTCTCTACTAAAAATACAAAAAAAAAAAAAAAAAAAAAAAAAAAAAATTAGCCAGGCGTGGTGGCGGGCACCTGTAGTCCCAGCTTCTAGGGAGGCTGAGGCAGGAGAATGGCGTGAACCCGGGAGGCGGAGCTTGCGGTGAGCGGAGATCGCCCCACTGCACTCCAGCCTGGGCGACAGAGCAAGACTCAGTCCCAAAAAAAAAAAAAAAAGATGAGAGGACCTTCTAATTTTAGAACTGAAACATAGGGTGGGAGGGGAAAGAGGAAGTAGAGGTTAAAACAAACCCAAAATAAATCATGTCTAATGGTCAGGAAGGCAAAGAAGGAGAAGGAGAGGCTTACAGGAGGCTGAAAGTCAAAGTGCCGGGAACTGCATGAATACCGCTGCATTCAGGTTTCCAAGCACCTGCGTTTAGTACCTCATTCCGTATCCTTTGGGGTCACCCTCAGAATCATGGGGCAGTATCTCATTTCGAGGATTTCCATGTGTGTCTCCACACTGGTGTGTAAGGAGCTGATCGGAAGCTATTTCAGCCAAAGCCTGATGCATCGGACAATCTCTGGGGAAAAACAAACTCCCAGAAATGGGGACTAGAAAGTCATATACATATTGCCGAGTGTCTCCTGTTTTGGAGGGAAGTTCTGGACCGTGGTCTGCAATTATCAGAGACCCTGGTGTGGACCTGTCCTTGTTACCTGCTGCAGTGGTGTCCGCGATGCGTGCTGATTTCAGAAATTCCTTCCCTTCTCTCTTTCTCTACCCTATTCCCTTAACCCTGGTACCCAAATCAGTTACCTGCGTTCATATCCTTAAGTCCTGCTTTCAGAGTAACCTGTGCTAGGCAAGGACTGAGAACTATGCCAGGAAGTTTTTCGATGTCCTCACCCCTTTTCTAACCGCTCAACATGACTTGCCGTTACCAGTCCTGGACTTCTTGTATTTTGCTGCTTTTTTTTTTTTTTTTTTTGAGACAGGATCACGCTCTGTCACCCAGGCTAGAGTGCAGTGGCACAATCTCCACTCACTGCAACCTCAGCCTCCTGGGTTCAAACACTTCTCCTGCCTCAGCCTCCCGAGTAGCTGAGATTACAGGCAGCTGCCACCACGCCAGGCTAATTTTTGTATTTTTAGTAGAGATGGGGTTTCACTATGTTAGCCAGGCTGGTTTTGAACTCCTGATCTCAGGTGATCTGCCCGCCTTGGCCTCCCAAAGTGCTGGGATTACAGGCATGAGCCACCACGCTCAGCTAATTTTTGTATTTTTAGTAGAGATGGGGTTTCACCATATTAGCCAGGCTGGTTTTGAACTCCTAACCTCAGGTGATCTGCCCGCCTTGGCGTCCCAAAGTGCTGGGATTACAGGCATCGGCCTCATCACCCAGCCTCATTTTGTTTTTGTAGTCATGCACTCACCGTTCAGTAAATCTTATCCATCCTTACTTAAGAAACATTTAAACATGTCAACCTGTGGCCATCCCAGGACACAAGAGATAAAGGCGAGCAAAGCAGATATATTGGATTCACAGTAACCCAGACTTCATTTCCAGTTACCTCCCCTTCTGGAAAATCTAGCATCCTAGCAAAAACTAAGTTGATAAAATCACTACACAAAAAGTTTAGAAATAGGACCAGTCCCGGGAAGGAAAGATTTAAAGCAATAGGACAGGATGAAAGAAATACTCACTGGGTACTGCACTCACCTCCTGGGTGCAATAGTCCCATGTAGCAAACCTGAGCATGTACGCCCATATCTAAAATAAAAGTTGAAGTTCAAAAAATAAAGAAAAAAAAGAGAGAAAGCAATAACATATTTTGTGGATTTGAGATGGAGGGTGGTGAGGAAGCTGAATGAGAGGTCAGATGGTGATGATGAGTTGGCATTATCTGAATGAAGGGATGCCTGGGGGTGGAAAGAGAAGCATTACAGGTGGTCCTGGGCAAAGGTATTCAAACGGGTGGATCCTAACGCCTTACAAGAAGTAAAAAGACCACAAGAATCTTTTCATTCTTTTCGAAGTATGTTTCACTGTAGAATCAAACTTTTGTGAGATACTAAAAACGACCTAATTGGAATGAATCATAAATTTCCAACTTAATTTGGGGGCACGGGTGTTCTGTGATTCATAAGAACTCATGTTTTATTGTTTCATTTTCTTTTTTTTTATGATTATACTTCAAGTTCTGGGATACATGTGTAGAATGTGCAGGTTTGTTACAGAGGCACACACGTGCCACGGTGGTTTGTTGCAACCATCAACCCATCATGTACATTAGGTATTTCTCCTAATGCTATCGCTCTCCTAGACCCCCAACCCCCTGACAGGCCCCAGTGTGTGATGTTCCCCTCCCTGTGTCCATGTGTTCTCATGATTCAACTCCCACATATTAGTGAGAACATGCTGTCTTTGGTTTTCCGTTCTTGTGTTAGTTTGCTGAGAATGATGGTTTCCAGCTTCATCCATGTCCCTGCAAAGGACATGAACTCATCCCTTTTTCATGGCTGCATAGTATTCCATGGTGTATATGTGCCACCTTTTCTTTATCCATTCTATCATTGATGGGCATTTGGGTTAGTTCCAAGTCTTTGCTATTGTGCATAGTGCCACAACAAACATATGTGTGTATGAGTCTTTATAGTAGAACGATTTAAGATCCTTTGGGTATATACCCAGTAATGGGATTGTTTCATGTTCAACTGACATCATGTGACACCGAGAAAGATGATTCTTAGCTCCTACCCCACGTTGCATCTCCTGGGCAAGGGTCAAGTTATGACTGGGTTTAGTGAAGTTTGATCAGTTGGGGGTTGACTGGCCCATGGGGGGATCCCCAAAATGTCAGCATTTGGAAAACTCTATGGTTGCTCAACTCTCCCTTTGGCTGAGTCATTCCTTGCTCATGCTAGACTCTGCCTTTCTCTATTTTGAATATAGCTCCTTTGCTTCCTGTCTCTGTGCTGTCAGTCTAGTGAGATTGATAAGATATTTGTCCCAGAATAGAATAAATTCTTTCCCTGATCTCCAACCACTGATTCACTGCACTGGACTGCCTGGACAATGAACTAAACCCTAACATCTACATTAATCAACTTAATCTCAATTTTCAAGCCTAAGAATACATTTAGCCTTAGATTGCAATAATCTGGACTTCATCTGAAATTACTTCAAATGAATACCATTGGCCCTTGGACAGGAACATTTTCTGCCTTAAAATGATTTTTCTTA